ATTTCAGGTTATATTTCAGGTTGTGTTTCAGGTTTTAGGGAATTTCAGGTTTTTCAGGGAATTTAAAAAATTAGAATAATTATTTTGAATATCTTAAAAATAAATTATTGTCTCAAATTCTTATTATGTCTTCTAAAAATTTCTCTTGAATTTCTCTCATTATTTAGTCTTCATTGTTATTCTTAACTATTAAAAATTGTCTTATTTCCTAAACTTGTCTTATTGTCTCTATAAAATATTCTTAATCGTTTTCTAAAATTGTCTTATAAAATATAAAAAATTTCTTCGCAAAAATAAATTATTCACACAAATTATTTTAATTTTATTTTTTGCTTATTCAAACTTTCGGATAAGAACGACTAACCTTAAAGAGTTTTCTTTCAGGTTTTCAGCTCCCTCAGGATTTAGAATCCTGAGGGAGCTGAATACTAAATTCTTTCCGCGAAATATATTTTGAAATTGGATTAATTTTATGGATATTATTATTAAAATAGTTATTATTGGTACAATGAATATAATTAATGTTATTAAATATGATGGAATATAATAATTATTATCAGTATAAATAAGTAATTGATATGAACACGATGAATATCATCAATATAATATTAAAAGTTAGTATCTTTATAAATATTTCAATTATTATTCAACTTTTCGTTATTTATTAAGGTCAGTTCATCGATATGCTATCAGAGAATTGAATCTTATTTCTTTTAACAATATATATTAAACTTTCAGGTATTTATCAATGATACTATTTATGTGGGCAACTATAAATGTATTTTAGTGTATTGATAATCTTATCAATATGTAATTAATGGTATATTGAATAAGATTAATTATATATCAAAAATAATTATTGGTATATTGAATATGAATAGTTATGTATCAATAATAATTAGAATTACATCAAGAATTGTTGGATTATTTATTATAACGACTTGATCAGTGATATTATAATTGTTGTTGAATGATTAATTGTAAAGTTGAGTTATCATGTGCACATGTTTAGATGTTTGTATAATACTTTGTTGTTATGTTAATAAATGTTGAGAATGTTAACTGCTCATTCACTTAATGTAAAGTATTTTTATGCTTTATTTTATACCTGAAACAATTGTTGCAATGCAATGTCTGCCCAACTTTTTAGCTGTTTCAGCATTATATTTGATTGCTTGATGTGGGTTGAACACAGCATTCTGACTGCATCTTATTATTATCAATCAATCACTGTGAATTGGCGATGTGATGCGTAGAGTTTTGTAGCGGGTGAGTTGATATATTATCATGGGAATACTATCAATAGCACTGATGACAGTGAACGTAATAATAATACCAATAATACTGATAAATAATAATAATTAGTAATAATAATATCGAACGTCTTGTGGCGTTTCCTTGAAACAAGTATGGTATGATGATGATGATGGTAGTGAATTAGTCGGATGGTAATCAGTATGNTATCGGTATATAATGGTATAATATGGTTATATTATTGGTAAAATAATTAATTGAATAGAATAACGAAATGGCAGAGCAAAGGAACGACAGCGAATGGTTGAGGTAGAGTGTTTTTTGGTTATTGACAGTTGATTTGATTTGAGTTCGGTGTTATTGATGGTTGGTATGCAAATGATTATTACGTTATGTTATTGTGTCATTATTATGTTACAAATGTTATACAAATACAAATTCGTCTTACGTTCGTAAGTGCAATTTACTAGCGCAGTAATCGTATGGATGAGCTACACTGTAGTGGATCACTATAAGAAAATCACTAGTACTTCATTCGAGGGATCTCAGTCCTCAGTTTTGCCCAGTAACAATATGATTTCATGGCATCATTGGAAAGCTGACGTCCTCTGCTATCAGAGAAGCATATATATTGTCGAGGGATTCTGCTTGGTTCCAGAGATATGGCCAAATATCTGAGTAACACTACAGTGCTATAGGAAAATCACTAGTACTTCATTCAAGGGACCTCAGTCCTCAGTTTTGCCGAGTAGCAATGTGCTCTCTTGGTATCATTGGTCTTAGTGTTTAACGTGCATATAGAGAGAGTTTGAAAGAGACCCCGCCAAGGCTGCTCGGCCAACTGACAACATGCTGAGATTGGATTGAACCCGAGGGATTTGAAATGAGCCTCGTCAACTACCCTGTATACATGTAGAAGCTAACTAGCTAGTTTAATTTGATTTTTTGACTTGAATTCGTTTGCACAGACTGCAATAATAATAATGATAATCATAATAATAATAACAACAATAGTAACGACAGTAAAAGCAATCAAAAATTCATAATTTGGCAGCGGATAGAATAAGAAGAGGTAATATTTATGTGGGTGGATTTGATCTGTTCGATGCCTTTGGTGAATCCGATCTGTTATTTATTGATATGAAGAATAGACTAGTGATATGTTTATGAAATTGAATTTATTTTAATGAGATTTGATGAAATCAACGAAATCATATTATGTGTAATATATAAGCGAGCGCATTAAGCTCGTGATCAGTAAGCTTTTCACACTTACTGATCCATGCTGACAGCTAATGTTGTCTATAGATGGATGATTGAATGAATAAATTAATGCTGCTGTTGAGTTAGTATTATATCTGGTTGAATTGTTGTGGTGGTTTAGACTTAAGTGAGCGCTGCGATTTGCCTTAGTTTGGTTGTTGATTTATCATTATGGTTGGTTATCAATTAAGCATTAAGCATTAAGCATGAATGGATTGTGGCAGTGGCATGATTGCGCAGTGGCAATATGAAGAGTTAGTTTTGTTGTTTTTTGAGTGGCTTACATTAATCATCGATCATTGTTCGAAGAAGAAGGCAATGATGAAGAAGGGCAAAGGAAGTAGGGCAGGGCAGGGCTGTCATATTTCGTGATAATAATTGATGATAAACGATCGGTCGCGTTAACTTTACATTGACCAGCCGGATAACAAGGCAGGCAGGCAGGCAGGCAGGCGGCTGACTAGTGACTTATTGAGCCAACAAGCAACTGTATCCGTATCCGTCATGCATACATCTATCGTTCAATTTATCATCAGATGGAATTTATCACCAAAGCGAAATCCATGTGCCGAGTTCGAGCAATCGATTCGCTTGCTTGCTTGTGGTCGTGTCGTAGCATCATCATGCATACGTCATGCTTGTCATAAGCATTAAGATATTAAGGTTAAGGATCATGATTGAGGTGCGATCACTATTCAAAGATTTATTTATACGGAAGGACATTATTAAGTGATGATCACATTTTTGTGGTGACAAAGTAATAGTTTTGTTGAGTAGTTATTTTTGATGAGTTTTTCATAAATTTGTTTGTACATACACATAAATAAATAAATTCATTCGTTCGTTTTTGAAAATTGCATGCAGTATTGATATTAGTGTTGAAAGCATTAGTAATAATAGTTTGAGTGGTAGCATTTGGTCGGTGTTTCAGTTGATTGCGAATATAATTCACATAGCAATTTGATAATTCGTTTTCGATTGGGAGAGTTGTGCGGCAATTGAGTGTGTTTATATTTTGTGGGTGCGTAGCGTGAAGACTGAACGTGAGCGTGAGCTTGAGCCTGAGACACCGAGTCTACTCGAAGCTCGGGGCTCATTCCCAATTATTGTTATTGTTTTGAATAGTTTGATCTATCCAACCTCATTTTTTCAAAGCACTTATTTGCTGGCCTTGCTTCCTTGCTTGCCAACGGCCATTTATATTCTGTCGGAAAGCAATGTGCAATTGTTATACCTCATTTGTTATACTCCATCATTGAGATTATCATATTCATTTTGCTTTTATAAATGTGTATTTTGATTGCACATAAATGGTATGAGTTGATTAGTTCAATGATATGTAAAGTATTGCTTGATAAGGCGTATTAGTAGTAATTGCTTGAAAAGCATAAATGTTTAATGTAGCTGAATAGATGGAATATTGTTTGATAAGGGATAACATTTTACAATCTTTACAAAATTGGGAACATGAGAGTAGAGATTCTTTAGATTAGTGGCTCTGGTAGTGGGGAGCGGTACGTGATATGAATTAGATTGGTTGGTGGTAGGATCAATGCAAGTTCTTAGCTTAGCTAAATGACTGAATGGATTGAGATGACAAAGACGTATGCAAGGGAGGGCTGAATCTTCGGGTTAGTTTGCTGAGACTGAATTGGACACAATTGGTCAAATTGCGGTCATTGTTCAGTTGAGAGCGATACTGGACAGCGGAACCGACTATTGCAGTTTGATTGGCAGAATATCATTGTTAATTGTGATGAATTTGATGTTTATGTTAGTATTAGTAGTTGTATTTAAAATGCTTTGAGTAGGATTATCATTATTGTGCTGGTAATGAGTTTATCTGCAGGTGCGATATCTGCGAGGATCGTATCGTTTGCTATGCTCGAGGTATGAGAAGCAGATAAAAATGGTGTTGCCAATAGGACATGATTCTTGCTTGCTGAATCAGATGAGATCGTCAGATAAAGAGCCACAACAACGTAGCATTTCATCGGGTGCTGGAATGAGTTGTGCTAGATCGACGACGACAGCACCGTTATTAGACTGTAGACAAGCACAACATAAACAGTCGTCATGTGCATCTGCAACGACTTTAGCCCCTGCAGCTGCGGCAGGAGTAGGAGCATTTCGAATGCTGCCGTCACCACTGTTGTTGAATCATTATCATCAAGGACAACACACTGAAGTGGCTCTGGAATTAGGTGGTGGCGTTGGAGGCTTCTTTGGCACGGTAAATGCGTTCGTTGGTTGATTTGATTGCGAGTTTGATCATCAACTTATTGCAATGACAGTGCAATGGTAATATGTTTGAGGGTCTTCTACGTCTGAAAGAACGTCCACGTGCACGTTCGATGCTACCGTTGCGATCGCCGTCATCAATCGACGATGAAGAGGGAGGGTATGACGAGTGTACAGAGGGTGGTGTATTTGCTGAAGAAGCGGCGGATCTCGAGAATAGTTTAATGGATGCTGGACAAGAGCGAGCTCCACTGATCCGTAGAAGTCGTTCTCGAACGAGTGGATCGGCAAGGTTCGTCAGTTGTTGTGCCGCAAAAAAATGAGTCTTTTGCCGCACATTTTAATCGTTGAACATTTCTCGGTAGCGCTACTGAAATGAAGTGAATAGATGAATAAATGAGCAGGCAGCAGCAGCAGCAGCATATTGTTTTGAGTTGAAGTGATAAAAAATTTAGATCACGATCTGGGTGGTCCTCACGAGTTTCGTCGGCACTCTACAAACAACGATGTGTACCGTTGTCCAGGGACGAAATGCTTGAATTAATGGTGCTGCTGAACGATACAACGGGTTTGTTTGTGTGGTGTTGACGAATAGATTAGTTTCAATTTAATGCTTTCAATAATCATTAATAATCATTTATTTATTCCTTCATTTATTCATTACTGGTCCTCTCATCTGGTCATATCGTCTTAGCAGTCTAGTCTTGTCTTATCTTATCTTGATTACACATTTGAATTCATTTCTTATCGATATTTTTTAAATGCATTTGCATGTTATTATTATTATTGCTATTATTATTATTATTATTGTGCTTTTTTTCATTTTTAAAACATCTCAAAAAGCATGTAGGGAAGAGCGCGGCGCAGCCTCTTCTGTGGTGTCCTATCCAGTGTCGAAGCTCACGATGGTACGTAGACGATGAATCTCGATTTGAATGATCCAATTTTGATAATAGTAATAATAATAAATGAAAGAAGTTTCAACAAGAAAAGTTTGTGTCTTTTCGTGTTCATCGATACGGCCGTAGCATTGGTCAGCTGCAAGTGTATGGGCGATGCTACGAAACGACTGAGTTGGACAGATTTGCATTTGCCTTATTTTTGTGTTGTTATTTTGTATTTGAGCATAGTTATGCAGTTAAGAATCAGAAGAAATATATTTAACTCATCAATCCTTCCGGCCATGTTATATGCAAGCGAAACGTGGGCAACCACAAAAGTTGCAGAAGAAAAATTTGCTATAACAGAAAGAGCAATGGAAAGACGGATGTGTAACGTTTCACGGAAAGACAAGATAAAAAATGAGGAACTACGTTCGATGACCAAAGTGAAAGACATAGTAAATGAAATCTATATCAGCAAAAGAAGATGGGCTGGGCACATAGCGAGAATGAATGATAACCGTTGGACTAGTCGAATAACACAGTGGATTCCAAGAGGAGTGAAGAGGCCCCTGGGCAGACCACGAATGAGATGGGATGAACCGCTTGTCAGAATGTTCGGCCAAAAATGGCAAAGGTCTGCTCAACAAAGAGTAATCTGGGGATCGGTAGAGCTGCGCCCACATAGAGAGCGAAGACAGGTCGCAAGGTAAGGTAATATGCAGTTAAATGAAGCGATAGTGAAGTAAAGCACTTGAACAGCAGCAGAGCAGCACTGAAATTCGCGTAAACTTATTTGTGATTTGATTTTGCAGCAGCATTATTGTTTTATGATTATTGCTGCTGCTGCTGTTGTGTACATTAGTTTTTGCAATTAAAATAACTTGACTCGAAGCATCCATCTATTTTTGTCTTTTATGATTATGTGACGGCTTTGACCAATTGCTCTCATAATCATGAGGAGACTCGTGGCCGCTTTGTCTAGCAGCCATCAGACTAATTCATAAATCATTATCATATGATCATGATTGCTTTTCGCATTACATACATATCTATAGAGCTGCTATCTATCCATATCCATATTTATCCGAGAAGGCGCGATCTGTTGCAATTGTAATCCATGCGATTATAGCTTAGTTGCATCTGAATCTGCAGTTGCAATTTGCAATAATTACAGATTCGAGTGAGTATTCTGTTAGCAATTTACTAGGTAATTTGGACACGAGTGCATACCTGTAAAAGTAAGAAGCGAAAGACACGGAGTATGTTTAAGAAGTGTTCAACTTTGCATTTTATAATAGAATTTCATTTGAAAGTACATAATGCTTGCTGATGCTATCAGCAATATATCATACTATGTATTTATCGTTGACATATCAATTTGGTGGTATGTATGGATGTATTTATTCATTGCTAGTGGCTTGAGTTAGTTACTGAAAGTAGCGTACTTTTGGGTACGTGATAAGATATAAATCATGTGCTGGAACTTGAAAGGGCGGCTCTGAATGTGCATGAAAATTGCTAAAGGCGATAGGGTATCAATCTCTTTCTGGCAGGCATTCTAGCTTGTTTTAGGTTGTTGTGTAAGTTTGGTGTACCTAATGCAGGATTGTTATTATTATTGTTATTATTATTAGTGGCAATTTGAATGATCATATGTGTGAGAGTGAAAAAAGTGAAGCGGTAGCGATTGATCATAAGCAATTTGTTGTTGTTGTTATAGCTGTGGATCATAAAGTTAGCTTAAGTGCGTGCAGAGCAGTTGCACATGTTCTGGTGGAAGAAGTTTAGAATGTTAGAATTTAGAACATTTTTATCTAATTTCAAAACGTGTAATAACAATGACACAGCAGCAGTAGCTGTAGCTGTAGCTGTAGCAGCAATCGCTGAAATTCAGTTAATAGGTGATTGATTTTGTCACCTGGAAATGTGGAGTGTTTTTTGTGGTGGTGCTAGTGGTGGCTTTTTAGAAATACTTTGAAGTTGTTCATTCGAGAGAGAGAGACTGACTCTTAAAGGCTCATAAGAAGAATTTTATTGTTCATATGTGATTGTAATGTTTATATAATGCTGAGTTTATGAAAGATACGCTTTATGAAGAATTGTAGCGGATTACGAGCATGCATCATTCGGGGCGGTCGGTTTATGAAGATGGCACAGCTTTAATTTATATTTTTTTGTGTGGGTGCTGCCGAAGGAGTAGTTGTTGGTGGTGGTTGCTGGACTGATTGAAGAGCATTTTTGGATTTGCATAAGAATTTGCAGTTATTGCAGTTCATTTGATGGATGGCAGTAGGCAGAGAAGTGTGAAAAGGTGTTTGAGAGAGCGATTGTTTTGTGGGTGTGTTAGGATTTGGAAAAGTTGTTTTAGAATATGTGAGGGGGAAATTCGGTTAAGGTATAATACTAGTGATGGGTTGATTTTGAAAGGAATAAGCGAGAATTGAGTTAGTGAAACGGTTGATAAGTAAAGGATGTGTAGAAAATGACTGGATGAATGAATTGTAGTATTTGGATAAAAATAGAAATTGAAGTGAATTCAAGTAGAGTCAGTGGATTGTGAAGGAAGGAAGGAAAGAGGACGGGAATGCGAACGTGATAAGTTGAATTTGGCAGTTTTATGTAATGTTATGTGATGTGTGCTTGTGTTTGTTGAAAGAGCTTGTAATAATAACAAATAGCACTAATAAGCGAATAAGAGAACATTATGCATAATGCGATGATTGCTGCTGAGGCTGCGGCATGAACATGAAATCGTATCGTATCGCATCGCATCGCTACTTTCCATATTTGCAGCTTGTTGGTTTGTTTTATGTTGCGCTCGGTCTCGAATCGTGCTCTTATTGAATTTCTTAAAAAGTGTTCGATTGATAAAGAGGGAAATGATTATGGCCAGAAACATTATTCATCCTTTGAATATCTTTTGAATTAATCGATTTATCATTCTGCATTCATCGTTCAATTTCTGTAAAAAAGTGTAAAGCGTTAAAAAACATTTACATTCTTCACTAAACCCAACAAACTCAACAAGAAATAATGCTTGAGTTTGTTTTTGTGCTGCTAGTCGTCTTTACATTTTGCTTGTGAAGAGATAGATGGATGGATTGATTGTCACTTGTTTAATTTATCATTAGTTTAGATACTCTCATATAAATATGTGTGTATGTGTATTGTATTGCGATAGCTGCTGATCTGGGTGATATTCTCGGGATTTGTGTATTGGGTGGAAGGATTAGATGGGTGGACGGATGGATGGATTGATGGATGGATGGATGGATGGATATCGTCGATGACTGTGTAGTAGCACTGATTACGATAATAGTAATAGTTATGAGTAAGAGTAATTATGCTCGAAAGATAGATGGCAGGTAGATGGATTGATAACATGACAGCATGGTTTCATAGCAATAAAATAACAAAACTAGCATCTATAAACTGTAAATGGTAATTCTGTAAATGAAGGAACTGATCAACAGATTTTTCGTGCTGGTGTTTTGAACATTTCGAAGTGATCTTATTAGCATAAGCTTAAAGTTTTTGGATAGAATAGGACAATTAGCAGTACTAACGATTAGCATATTATTAGTGGTCGTAGTAGTGACAAACAACAGGGTTGTTGTGTAATTGGGTGTGCTGGAAGGAAGGAAGGAAGGAAGGAAGCGATGGAGACACGAACGATGTGTATCAAGTGGACACTTGGTGCTGGATGTTGATGTGGAGTTTTATCACTTTAATTGATTAAATTCACTGCTTTTTTGACATCTTTTAATTTTTTTGTAAAGTTTTGCGATTGATTCGAAACACATATTATATTAGCACTTGCAGTAAGCAATCAACTGAGAAGGCAAATTATAAATAAGTAAATAAATGTGTTATTTATGCATATGGATGGATGTGTTTGATAGTAGTTTGCTTGTTCACTTATTCATTCAGTTCAACTGAACGTATGGATCATCAGTAATAGTTAAATTTCATTTTAGGTATAGAGGAATAGCGGGGGGGGGGAGAGCTAATGAGCTGAGGGAAGAGATTGAGGAGATGGAGATGGGAGTTGTTTTGGTGGTGGACGGGAAGGGTGGATTGAAGGAGAAGTTGCCATGTTGATTTTGGGGTATTAGCTTTTTTATTTGATATTTCCTGTGACATTTTTATAAAAGTTTCAAGTTTAGTCTGACATTATTATTATTATTATTGTCATTATTATTGCCATTATTATTGTTATTATTATTATTATTATTACTGTTATTATTATGATTTGTTATAATGATGGCTGTTATAGTTATTGCTACAATTAGTTTTATTGTTATTTTGAGCATAACGATCAGGATGAGGATTGCGAGTAAGTAGAATGAGTTGACACTTGCGATAAACGGCGTATAAACACGAACGAGTGTGAATTCAAAGAAGTTGTTTATGAGAGGATTTGGAAAACATCTGTATATCTATCTATTTATCTGTTAGTAATAAACAATCTTATATTGATGCGACGACGATGATCATTCGTGAAGTTATATTACACTTTGATTTTGTGCTGCTTTGATCTAGAGTTTATTTGCGGTGTAAGGTGAATTTATTGCGAGTGATTATTGTATTTGTTTGGCATTTGTTGTAGTTTTCGGTGAGTAGTTATTAACTTGAATAGATTTATTTCTCGAAGAGATTTATTTTATTTGGGTGGTTGGTTGAAGAAAGCGGTTAGCAGAGCGCTGAACTGTATCTAGGTTCGAGAATGTGACTGTGAGCAGCAACGTGAGTGCTAATTGTAAGTATGAATGAGTGTTTTGAACGTGTTTACGTGGAATAATTGAATGTGAATGTGAATGTGATTCGAGCAATTATTTGAAGTATGTAGTGATCTCGGATGTGATACGTACGATTAGGTGATATTGTATATTGTTTGGATGTGATTTGGGTAGATATGCGACAGATTCATTTGTGGATGAGGTGTTATGCGAGTGATTAGGATACGCAGAAGATTTCTATTTTGGAGTTTTATTGAGGATATGAATTTGATGATGTAGATGTTTGTATTGCGGTTGGTTTTGTTGCGTTTCGATACGAGCGAGAGTAATAATGATAACGGGAAATATCTTGATACTTTTAAGAGGTGATAGAAAGGCGGGTAATCGGTTGAGTGGATCAATTGACGATTAGATCTTAACGAGTGGCACTGATCTGTTAGTGCATTGATCCAGGAACCGAAAGGACGAGGACTGCTAGGAAGAGAGGAGAAATACTGCTGCTGCTGCTGCTGGTGGTGGAAAGGTGCTTGAGGGAAGCATTATTCAATAAGAAGTGATGCTACTGATGGTATGATTCTTTGAAAGAAGAGAGCAATTGCGCCTAGCAGCAGCATTATCTATCTATCTGCTAGATATATATATATATTCATTAATCGACGAAGAGCACACCTGAAATGTCAGTATTTGTATCGCAATCGTTAAACGAAGATGAACCGACACGATTCTCACGAATAGGTCGTAAGTCGACAGTACGACGTAAACTCAGTGTTTTGGTGACGATTAATGAAGATGGTACGATAACAACAACGAATGCCGGTGAGTGACTTGACTATAGACTGTTTAGGTTTTTTATTATTGTGTCGTGATTATGGCTTTGAGTTGGTGTTTATCATTCTAGTAGTGTTATTGGCTTAATTTGCTGTTTGCTTTCGGCGATTTGCTTTTATTCTCACTTGGTTCAACGGGCCTGCTTTTGGGACATGCAGGTGATATTGGTGACATTTTGCGCGATATTAATATGTGGCTGCGAGATTGTGGTGGTGGTGGTGGTGGTGGCAAGCAGGGCTCATATCTATGACTTATCCAAGCATGCTCTGATCAGATCAATGAGTTGATCTCTGATCAGATCAGTGAGGTGCTCCAGGGTGAAATGAGTCAGATTCTAGTGTTCATGAAAGTTAGTGATTTCGCCGATCGACAATCGACCAAATCTTCAGTCTCAGACGAATAATTGAAACCCGAAATCGGTATAATCAGCCGACATACACTGCCTTCATAGACTTTGCGTACGTGTTCGATTCACCGTGCCGCAATCGTCTATTTCAACTAGTCCGAGCTAATGGCGTTCCGAAAGAACTTGTACGGCTAATAAGCAATATGAGTATGTCAACAAGAGCAATAGAGTGCTATATCCGAGCAGTTCAGCGTAAACATGGGGGTACGGCCAGGTTCGGTTCTGGGCGCATTCCTATTCAACTTTGTCATTGACAAACGGCACTATAATAGCGGAATGCAGCTATACCCGTGCATGACAGATCTGGATTAATCGGACGATAACGCACTCGTGGCAGATGATCCGAACGAATTGCAAAAGGCCGTAACAGCTGTGAGCGAGTATGGCACAAGCTATGGACTGATAATAAAGCCAGCCATCTAAAAGCAAAGTACTATCAAGCAGAAATAAGTAATCCAATACTGCTTAACAACGAACAGTTGAAAAGCACCGAAAGTTTCTGCTATCTCGACTCAGTTATAACAGCTAACGCGGATTGCACGGAGCAAAGAATTGCGAAGGCGCATGGAGCATTCAATCTATTAAGGAGATGCTTGTGGTCAACTGCAATCAAGAGGGAAATCAAACTGAAGGTTTACCGAACAGCCATAGTCCCGATGATGATGTATGCGGATTTGGAAAGTGTATAACCAAGCCATATCTATAACATCTCTCAAGCAGTTTCTATTGCTGTATTTATGTTGCTCTGCTAAGTAGCACTGCAATAATGATGCTGCAGTAGCAGCAACAGCACGAGGAAGTGACGAAAGCAAGAGTGCAGCCAGCAGTAGCACCTTTTAAGTGGTTCGGCGTAGGTGTTGTATCCACTAGCTATCCATTAATGTTCATTTGATGTTTAAGAATCGTTGTTGCTTTTACAGAAGTGACAAAATAATAATATAGCACTGGAATAGAGCACTAAAGCATCAGATTACTTGTTCATGAGATTGATGATACATAGGCATTTTATTGAGAGGCCTATTTGGGTTGGTACATTCATTATAGTATCATTTACATTTGTTCGTTATGATCGGTTTTAGTGAGTTGCAGGTGAATGAATTGATGGATGGAGTGGGTTAGAGTTAGGTAGTGGGTTGGTTGTTTGGGGTGAGTATTTGAGTTGAAGGGCATTGGAGTGAATGTGCTGCTTTTGGATGGCTGGCAATAAGAAAAACGAAATGAATGATCAAAAAGTGAACAGATCTATCTATTATATCTGTCTCGACGAAAGCAGAAAATGGCAAAAGAGAGTAGAAGCATCTCATCTCATCTGATAGGACGACGTAAAGTAACCATTTGAGAATTGAAACTGATACGATGAAAGCAAAAAAGTTTCGTTTTTCATTAAGCTTCGAGTCTATTTGTTCTGTGTTGGGTTGTTGTTAGAGCGCCGCCTCTGTAAGATAGCTGCAGCAGCAGTAGCAGGAGCAGCTAACATTATGATAGTGATTTGTGAAATTCATTCCTTGTTTGATATTCATTCACTTGATTGCAGTTTAATCAGGGTTGTTCTATTGTTAATTGAGTAGTAGTGATTGGTGTGATCGTTTGAACTTTGAAGTGTGATTGCAAAATATATTGTGAGAGGAGAAAGTGTGAATTGGATTGTTAAGTTGTGATTCAAGCTGGGCATGATAGTTATGATGTTTGATGCTGCAAAAAATGATCTCGAAATGCTGTCAAAAAATTTTTGCCTCACTTGACATCTATCTATCAATCTATCTATCTATCTCATGTATCGTTTCGTTTGACTTCTACTTGGTTTCATATGATCTCGTGTTTGGTTTTAAAACGATGAATGATTTCAGTTGAGTATAATAGTTGTTTGGTGGCTGCTTGACTGGTTGGTAGGTTGGTAGGTTGGCTGAATAGTTGAAGGATGGATTGATGTAGGGCTGGGTGAAAGGCGAAATGGCTAAGATAAGAATTGAACAAAGTAGTGATAGCAACAACGACAGAGTTGGCAATTAATCGTGTTATCAGTTGAGAGTTACAAAATTGGATATAGATTTATGTGTTCATTGAGCTTTGTTTTATGGAATGGAATCGACGAGCGCTATATTTGTGAGATGAGCACGGAATTAGTGCATGTTGAAATGGGGACAATATATTTAGATGGATTGATGGATGGATGACGGGATTAATGAGTGTTTTTATTATACTATCATTATGATCGTTATCTTATCGTGGAGGAAGGATTAGATCGAGTTGAATGTTAATGTTTATCGAGTATAAGTTCACTGATGAATAGATGAGAATCATTATAAAAATGATATTGCCGTTGTTGTTTTCTTGATTGTGTGTTTATATTTGTTAATTGTGAATTGTTTTATATGGTTGTTTTTTGCTTTTATACATTCATTTTTGTGTTTGACCGTTTATTAACTTATTAACTTATTTATTTATTTATTTATTCACTTATTTATTCATTTATTAGNTAGTTTAACTTATCTGAGCGTGAATGCCTCTTGAATGAGTTTGATTAATTTATGGAATAGGAAAGGAAGGAAGGAATTGATATCCGAAGTTAGATGGTCGTTGAGTAGTAGTTAGCAATTGGATGATAGTATTAGCAGCAGTAGCAGTAGTCTACGAAAAAAACTGCAGTGGTTTTTTGGGACGGAGGCGTTGACATGACTGAAAGCGGTGGCGGATGAAATAAATAAATGCATGATAGAGGCGCAGCCGAACGAACGAACGAGCCGATGAGGCAGCAAGGAGTGAGATTTGTTTTGTTGCTTGAAAGTATGAGATGAAACAGGAGATGTGGAGTTGTCAAATGAAGAAAGAGATTGAGTTGAAGTTTGATTTATTGCATTAGGTCAGTTTAGCGTTGTTTTGGTGGCTTTATTTGGATGTGTAGTAAACAGATGACACAAAGTTGCGTTTGAAACTATTGTCGTTGGTCGTTTTTGGTGATTTGTTGCGTTGCCGGATCGATGCTGTGGCGATCAGAATAAATATTTTATAGTATAATATGGAAGGAAATAGGTATAAGGTACTGAACTGTTGATGTAAGTGGTTGGATGGATGCATTATATATAGGTTAAGTTGATTTCGTTTCAAAACAGAGTGCTCATATTTGAGATGCAGTGCTGAGAGTGGTATTGAACTGAACTGCTGGTTAAATATCAATGGAAGGAAGTACTGTAAGAATTTTGACTTGTCGATTGCAAGGAATGAATATCTGGGGATCATTTATTCATCATTTGTTGGTTCATCTTCTAGTTGTGCTCTTGGTTGTGTAATCTAGTTATTTAGATGCTGCTGCTGCTGCTGCTGCTTCCGTTCTCAGTTAAACTGTCTTTATTTGTGTACTGCAAAAGGAAGGAAGCTCTGAGACCGAGAGTAGCACTGAATTGATAGCAATCACTATATAGTACATAGCTAGTAACAGATCAAACTGCTTAAGTTAACGGAAGGGTGCGATTTGGCATGGTTAGTTGCAAGGAAGGATGTGATAATGGTTGATAATATATGGGATAATTGAGAAGCAGCAAGTACGATAAATAATTGAGTGAGCCTAGTTACAGTTTCATTATCTAGAGAGAAGCAAATAATCTGTATATGGATGGATGCGTTGATGGATGAGCGAGGAAAGGAGGATTATGATGAGTAATGCTGGATGAGTGGACAGATGGGTTTGTGGGGATATGTTTAGTGTTTTGATCTGATCTGATCTGATCTGGTTAGTTGGTGGTGATGTATTTTATATGGTGATAGATAGCAGTGGATGATTATTTTGAAACGAATGTAATACGCATCTAGAAAGGTGATATGTAAACGTTATGGTATTGTATTGATATGCGTGCATATGATATGTGTTTGATTTATAGCTGTACTGATAAGCAAGAAGACGTGTCAAGGAAAGCAACTTATAATGTTTGCAGCCGTGAACTGAGGCATATTCGGGTGATCTGATGTCAATGTGAATGTATTGTTAGCAGCAGCAAACTTATTCTCATCTGCAGCATCCAGCTTATTTATTACTCTTACAGGCCTTAGAAATGAACGACATGGATTGTTAGTTGCATGCTGCTGCAGCTGGTGGTGTTACTGATCTGATCGTTAATATTTATCAGTGAGCGCTGTGTGATCACTCACTCACTGATTTGAGTTTGACCATATTGGATTATTGATTGATGCATCCATCCGTCTGATCGATTATCGGTGTTGATTGAGCTGGTGCACTTACTTGAATTGTGCTTGAATCTGCTGCAGCTGGATTGATTCTTCAGATAAATTGCTGATTGATTATCTTAATCCGACAGACATATTCGTTGGTTGGTTGATGTTTGAATCAGAAACACGTAAATGATTATTCACTGATTGAAGAAGCAAGCAATTCACTGAATGTTATTAATAAAATTAATCGTTGCTCTCTTTTAACAACTTAGAAATTTGGCGATGATCTTTACAGGTTGGCGATTAAGTTTTGTTGTTGTGGTGGTGGTGGTTGTTGTTGTTATTTTAATCAATTGATTGAGTCGAGGTGATCATTATTCAAGAGATTTTTATGCTTAGAAAATCATTGAGGAGGTGAAAGCGTGTGGCAAGCTTAAGTGGGAAATGAGATAGCTAGATAGATGTAAGTGAATATATTGCGAATGGAATGTTGATTAGGTAAAACTCAGTTCAGTTACGAGATTCGAGTAGAACTCTTATTGTTTTTGTATGATGTAGTATATTTGAGTGTGTGTGAGGGTGGTGGTAAAGCTAACGGTCCATCTCGTTTATTCGCTTGATTTGATGTAATTGAGCAGTTTAAGCATTGCTTTGGAATAGAATTGCACAGTTATTTTTAGGTTGAAGTGAGTAAAGAGATGAGGAGTGGAGTATCTTTGAATATTCTCTGATTGTGAGACATTTTATGTGCTGATTTGTCGAAAAGAGGTAGTTTTTAAAGTGATATTTTGCATGGTAATGTTTTGGATGGATGTTTTGGTGATGAGCAAATGGATGTGTGAACACGAGTTCGTTAAACGATACGGCGCCGTGCCATTAGACGAGAGGAGAGAATTGAGTTTGAATGAAATTTGTTTGGATTTGCTGATTGATGAGTTAATTGAATGAGTATGAATCGCTTATAGGGGTGGACTGTTCGTAATTGTTAAGAAAAGCTATAGGTAGGTACGGATTGCGTGCAGATTGCTTGGTGCGGACTGGTGAGATGGAATTATGTTTTGAAGGCGGAAATTTGAAGTCATAACAACAATAAAACTGCTTGATAATTGTTGTGACTAGATAATGGTTGTTGTTGGAGGGAGCGGAGAGCAATTTTAGTTTTGAGAATTTCGTTGGTTGATCTTTTTTTGTGGTGGTTTCATTGATGAGGATTGTAGACGTAGAAGAACACTGACTTGAAAAGGGAACAACAACTAACTGAGAACGAAGTTAAGAATGGCTTATAGCATATGATGTTGTCTAGTGAGCATTGAATCGTGTGCAACATGTTTTTTGTGTTGGTTTGAACGGGTTGAATAGAGCATAGAATGATTTTGCTAGTGTTGTCGTCAATCAGTGCATGCAGTGATTAAGCGCAACGGGGAGGAAGGAGTGTTTTATTTTTTGTGGTTAGGTGCAATGAAGTGAGAAGCATGAATATAAGTTAAGCGAAGCGGGTGGGTGCATTCGAGAATGAGATTGAACTGAAATTGATTGTGGTCATTGCTGAAGAAATTTGTGGTTGGCTGCTGAATTGATTCGCTGTTAGTGAAGGTGATTGATTGATTGATTGATTGATTGTTATTGTTGTTGTTTGATGTGTGATGATGGTGTTGCTGGTCAATGATTTGGACAGAGTGCATTTATTTTATTGTAGTTGTTAGTTAGTTGGCTATTTGATTTGGTTAGGGGACGATGTGTGATCGAGTTGAATAAGTTGAGTTTAGATTAGTGATGGGTTGGTTGGTTGATTTTATTTTGTCGTATGAGAACAAGATGGCCGATTTGATTTGACTTAAGCAAATTTTGAATTGTTTGTTGAAAGTGAACATACACTTTGCATTGGTATTTTCAGTAAACTAAATTCAGTCTAATTGGTCGTTTATTATTATTATTATTATTATTGTTGCCATTTGAATGAGGTGAAATATATGTGATAATTATATTGAAATGATGTACAAGGTGATTTATGAGGTTTATGATTCGGTTGGTAATTAGTGTTGAGAGGGAGGGGAATGATCTGTAGAAGAGTTACTGGGTGAGGTTGGAGAGGGATGAGTGAGTTTGGACTGAGCGTTTTTAATTTGATGGTGTCTTAGAATTAGATGTGAATTGTAATTTGGTGCAGTTGATAGAGGGTGATCGCAGAAATGTTGTTGCTTTTGCTATTTTTATGGTGCGTATGTTGAGGGTACGCTGTAAAGGGTTTAGTGCTGTGCTGTTTATAGAGGTAGGATTGTTTTGAAGAAGGAGATGAGATGAGATGAGATGAGACTGGATGAGTGCTTAATCGAATGTAGATGTTTATTGTTGTTATTGCACTCGGGTAATATCCACTGTAAACTGTAAATGATAGCTAGCAACCTAGATGGATGGATGCACGGATAGATTGATGAATGAATTGAGTGAAAGTACGAGCCAAGGACTATACTCATAATGAAAATTGAGCGATGTGGATAATCGAATCAAATTTTCGAATAAATAGAACATGAACAATCGGTTCGTTAGGAGGGATAAAGCAAATGCGACTGACTTGTTGTTTGTTGCTTATATTCAAGAATTTGGTGTGTGTGTGTGTGTGTTTAATTGGTGATAATATGATTGAATTATATGTGTACATTGTATGTTTATGCGTTTATATATAAGGCGCTGTGATTTGTAGGGTTTTTTTGAGCAAATCGGTAGATTTTGTCTGCAAAACATAGAGGTAGAGACGAGTGAATATCTGAATATCAATTACTGTTATTCAGCAATGAAGTAGTATACGTTAAAGAAGGATGGAAGCATGCTTGATTTGATAATGAAGGTGTTGTATAGCAATGTTTCTCAGGTTTGCAAGCTGAATTGCCGATTTATTTGGATGAAGGTGTCATTAGCCCGTCCCTCCCGTTTTACTCTTTCCACGCACAACGCCAAGAGCGAACTGAAAACCGATCCGGAATGGTGGCATTCCATCGTACAAAACAAATGTTACATCGCCGACCCCTTCAGTACTCTCAAATTACCCAACCAGGAGATGATTTAATCTGCCATAAGAAGCTATACATGGTGTACTTGCATGGCATGTAGGTAATTAAAATTCAGATGGTGAAGTTGAACAATAAAGAATCTGGTGGTTGGTGGAAAATAAAGCGTTTGAAATATGGTGGGTGGTTCACATTCTGATAGCATTAGTATAAGTATTATAGGTAGTAGTAGTAAGTAGATATAATGGTTTTGACAAGAGGTACTGGTGCTGCAGTAGTAGGCAAAGAGGAGCAGTGATGATGAATGGATAGTAGATGTGCAGCTCTTGAAACTGATATAAAGAGGGATTAAATTCATTTGATGTTATTGAATCAGCGAGTCAAGTCGGGCTGGGGTTGTTTTTTGTTCTGGGTTAGAGGCATGAAGAAGTCGTCATTGGAAGGATGAATGCGGCTAGTTGATGTTGCTTGATTCGTGGCATAGTGATCATGGATCGTGTACATCTTATCTTAGTGCGTATCGATGTGACGACCATTAGAACAGAGCAAATGAGGCATAAGTATAATAGCAGTAGCAATCTGCTGCTTACTGCTACGGCTTAGTTGCTCTCCTTTGTCGCATCTCACATAGCATCATCTCACATTCGACTATTATTGTTTTATTGTTTAATTAGTGATTGTTGCTGTTGTGAAGTAATCTTATGGGTATGGCTTTGATTGCTGAATTGAATTATAATTGCTTAATTGGCTGACGGTTTTCTGTTTAGGTGAGTGGCTGTGAGTTGCCTTAGCATCCCCCTCTAGTGTTCGGGCGTACTATATTTATCTGTGCAGTAGTTTATTGAAACACCATGCCATTGGTAGCATTGATAAACTATTAGATGATAACTTAAAATTAATTTTATTGCTGTTATCAACGGCGGAATGAATAATTATCACTTTTGTGTAAGCAAACAGTATTTATTGACAATTAAAGTGAACTGAATTGCCTAATGAATGTTGTGAATTATTAAATGCCCAATTCACGTAGCGTCTAACCCGTGTTCGGGGTGCTCATAGCAAGCCTACTGCTACTGTATCAGATTTTGTTGTTTATAGCGGCGAGGGAGTGTGTTTGCAAGCAAGCATTATGAGTGCGCTGATTCGAGTTGAAAGTCACTGAAGTCAGTGGCGAGTTGCTTAAGTAATGTGTGCAGTGGCATTGAGTGCAGTGCAAAACAAATTAATAAATAATAATGAGAACGAGAATAATAGAATATTGAATAAGTTTTGTGAATAGACTCGATCGGAAATATTCGTTAGTTGATGCGGAAAGTGGATTGGGAATTGTTTTAGTTGGCTTTGTGGTGCTGCACAAAACTATTGAAGCGTGCTGGGTAGTGACCGCGAATGATTGTTAGATTGTGATTTTATTTTTTGGATTGGAATGATATTGTTGCTGCTGCTGCAAATATAGACTAGATGCTGATGGTGGTGATGCGTTGAATGTTAGAATTAGATATGATTTGTGCATAATACGACACAGAAGTTGTAACTTGTGATGATTGATGATCACTTGAGAAGATGAGTAAAAAATAATCAGTTTATGAAGAAATTGGTAGAATTTGCAGTGGGATTTGCAGTAGATCAGATTGCAGTTGAAAATCGATTGAAAGTTAGTTACATTTTGTGGTTGTTATTGAGCAGTTAATCAAGCCATTGATTAGGTGGTAAGAGAGCGAGACGTTTGCATGGCAGTAGCGAAAAAAAGCGATAAAAAAAGTGGATGTCGAGGAGGTTATTTGATTGGCGATAGGGATGATGGATATTGAGGCGTTCAGTTGGAGAGGTTAATGAGATTGAAATGTTTTTGACAGCCTCTCGAGGTGATCGCTGCATTCCTCATTGGTAGCAGTAGCAGGATGTATGATGCAGTAGAATAATATTTACAGGAGAATAATATTGTGTGAATTAACAGCAATATTAATAATAGTAATAATAGCTGTAATTAGGATGTATTGCTTGTTGCTGTGATAATTAGAGGTGTTCTTTAGAATGGTTATTGTATTGAGTGTGAATGTGACAAGTAATTATATCACATTTTGACGTGTCGCGAGCGATTTTGACGAGGATTATATGAAATATTAATGCATATTTAGGTAGAGATTAATGAAGGACTAGTTTTGGCGTTTGACTGAAGTGCTGTGGTCATTAAAAATATTATTTAATAACTGAATGTTGCTGTGATGATGGTGCGGTTGGTCATGGTGGTGGTGGTGTAGGATCTGGATTCTGGAAGCAGGACGAAGAAACTCGAACAAGAACAACTCGAAGATCTGACCTTATATTAGATCATCTGATTGATCGTTATTTGATCATCTGATTGATCGTTTGATCATTTACGTACTCTTTGCAAAATGTTCGTCAATTGGGCACTACGTTCGGTAAGGGATTCACTGATCCAAGTGGATCCTCTAGCAGCAGCAATCGCATATAAAGGTCAGCGTAAAGCAATCCCGACTTCGGCCATTTCACAAACTCCACTGCTGCTGCAGTTCGCGCCGTTTGGCACTGCAACACTTGGTTAGTTCATGGCATGATAGTGTTCAAGAGTAGTATTGTGTTGTCATATGTGAAACTATTGGGCGTCGGGCAGATACTTGCTTGCCTGGAAGACGGAACGCAGTTGAATGCATTGACGACTATCGAGGACAGTGAACTTTGAAAGGAGGGAGAGGTGTATGCTCAGACTGTCACCAACTGAGTGCAATCAATCAAGATTTCAAATAATAAGAGACATGAGCTGCAAACATGCTTTATAATAGATTTGAGTGAGTACTCTTAACTGAGTTTAAGTATTATACTAACTGATGAATGAATGTTTGACACAAGCATTAGTAAATTTATTGCGCTGAAACAGTAGAGCAGATGAACTCTATTCATGGCATTTAAACTGAGTTGATGATAATAATAATAATCGTTAGTGATAACGGCGATAGTGCGAAGATATTTGATTGCTTATCTGGGTAATTGATCAGCTTGATAATTGATATTATAATTGATTTACTTAGAAACGAATTCATGCCTTGTGCATAATATCAGTTAGATTGTTGGTTGGTTGGCTTGTACTGATCTGACTAGTAAGTATAAGTTGCGATTGTTGCATGTATGTTATTGTTGAGTGGATTGGATTGCACTCGAGTGAGTTTGTTGATGTGATTGAATGTTTGTTGATGATATATAGCTGTAATGAGTTGATCGGATTAGGTGAGTGCATAATCGAGATTGATTATTCGGTTATGTATATGTTTATTTGTTTGTTATAAATTAAGATGAAACAAATAGAGAATTAGTTGATTGGTGCAGAGGAAGGAGAGAGGACACTAAGCAGAGCTTGTTGTTTCATTGATGATTGATTGAGTGAATAAGTACAGACAGCAGCAGCAGTAGCAGGCAGCATCTAAAAAGTTTTGATTTGGGATTTAAGTGCGATCCATCTGTAAATGCAGTCTGAAGGAAGTAGGATGGATAGCAATAGCCAGTAATGACAGAGCAATGAGATTGAGTGATAATTGCTTGATTTCATGCTTGATGATCATTATGACTTGATGCATTGTCGTCTTTGTATAAACAGATGAAATAATTATTTGTTGTGGTGGTGCGGTGCCTTCAGTGGTACTGACTGATGGATATGAGGTGATGCTCATGAAATGAGCTAGGTAGATGTTGGACTGCACTGGACTGGATAGCTATAGCTGGCGGAGATTGATGAATGAGGGAGTGCACTGCTGCATGTTATTATTCTTATATAATCGAATTACGGATACAAGCAAACGGCTGACTCCACTTTACCTGGTCACTAGCTTTTATATTGGATGTATATTGGATGTATGCACGTGATTATTTATTATCTACGTTCCAAAATGAGTGAACTATAAAAATGTGAATGTATATATAAATCATATAAAATACGGATTTATATGTAAGATGTGTTGTGTGTGTGTGTGTATTTTTGTAGTGAATAAAAGGAGTAATTGTTTTTGGGTGGGTGAGTAATGATAATTTAGTGTTAATGCGACTGGTGTTGAATGGATTGAAGAATGCTCAGAATAGAGCAGAGCAGAGCAGCTCTATCATTATTGTTCATTCTTCATTCGTTTGCTCTCAGCAAAACTCTGAGGAGTAATTGAAGTGTTCAGTGAGCAATTGCAATAGTCCTCATCAGATTCATTTTTCATTCATTACTATTCTTGCTTTATTTGTCACTTATTCAAACACTGATATCAATCGTGTACTCTATCGCCAGCAGTCTTAATAATTCACTGCTTATGATTATTTACCTAATTACTATTATTAGAACGATAAAGAAGCAACGCGTTTGTTTGTACAATGCACTCAGGCAATCTAATATAAATATTTTGAATAATTAGTTGATTCATCAAACATATTCATTCTATTATTTATTCATCGATACAATACCATCGATATATTAATCACTATTCGATTAATCACTATCAAAGCATCGAGTACACGAAGAGAAGATCAGTGCAAAAACTGATTATTCATAGCGTAATCATTTAGTGGTCTCTATTGACTGCTCTTATTTGAGGCGGTGGTATCGTCATTATTATTGTTATGCTTTATTCATTATCATATTATCTGCCTGTTAGTTATTCATTGATTTCTTGATAATAGTCAATCTGATCGATCCGGTAGATCGTTTTAAAGTGGATCTGTTAAAGTGAAAGATTTGCATTCAGAGCACATGTGCATTGTCATTACCTTTGGTTTGACTGTGACTGAAGTGTGGTTGTAATTAAATGCCTTGCTCTTACTAATACTAGAGTTGGGTATTAGACTGAACTGAACTGAACTGAAGTGAATAAGGGCTGTTGAATATAATATCAAAACAAGAATTAACAATGCTACAATCTGTATCGAAACATCTGATGACTGAGCATGGTGTTGCGGACACGTTGAGCAGCGAGCAGCGAAAGATCTCGTCACTGAGCTCATCTGCTGCTTCAGGAGGAGGTGGTGGTGCAGCTGCAGCTCAGAGTGCTACTGCTGCTGCTGCATCTACGGCTGCTGCTGCTGCTGCATCAACAGAACAGCAACAGCAGCAGCAGTCATCAGCATTCCTTCGTGAAGCACTTCTATTGACACCCACGTGGACGACTGCTGCGGCTGCGTTTGGTATACCCAAATCATTAACAGGTTCGATTCGATTCGATTCGATCCGATCCGATTCAGATCGGATTAGCAGTTCACATTGTGTTGTGCTTGATTATTCATTCGGTTCATTGCTCTTGGATCAGTGCTTTGTGCTGATTATTGCATTGCATTGTATTGGATTGGATTGGATTAACAGCGGTAATTCGCAGCTACATTGCTGTGCGTGCGCTGTTGCAGAAAAGAAGCGGAGCAGCGAAATGAAATTAGTAAATAAATGATTTGGTGGTATATTTTGGACATATATGGAGATGAGATTGAGTGAGTTAACAACTAGTCATTAATAAGTGACGACGACGCATTGATCTGTTTAATGTGTGGTCATACGATAGATAGATGGATAGATATACTGAATGAGATGGTAACTGATAAATAGATGAAGTATCTATTACAGTCAGTCGTCAATTGTTAAATATGAGCAGTAGATGTATCATCTCACACGAGTGCATTATTATACGGTAGTAGTGCTGTTTAATTGCATGATTGAGAGTGTTTGTTGATAGTGAAGTGTGAATTATGTTGGTTGGTTGGTTGGTTAGATAAGAATCAGTGATTAGTAGATGTTAATTTGGTGCGAGTGAGTGTTATGTAGTGGTTATATGTTGTTGCAGTGTTTATTATTATTGTAGCTTAATGTGTTTAATTTGAACGTAAAGGAAGTGGGGTGACTGATAAGAGACTGTAGTGGTAGTGAATAATTAGTGGTGTGAAGTACTTAGTGAAGCGTTGTGGAGGATTGTATTTTGAGAGTTTGTAAGTATGAGAATAAGATTTATATGTGACAGCATTTGTTGAGAGATGTATCGTGATCAGATCTCATCCACTAGAGATTATTGCGATGGCATTGTGTTGTGTTCATGTAATGATTTGTGCAAGCTTGATTGTCAAATGGAATAGTTTCAGATGAGTTGCGCTAGTGACATAATTCATTGAGTTAGTCAGTTAGATAAACAAGCCATCAGTTGGCAACTCCCTCGGGATATGGACATTGGAGTTGCTTTTGGAAAAAATGAAATAAAATATGTGTTGCATTACTTGCATAAGACGACGATTTGAGTTGGTTTGTTCATAAATTCAGTCGGTCGTCATTTAAGTGGAGATTTGCTCATGTAAGTAAGCAGGCAGGAGGCAGCACTCTGAGTGTTCTTGTGATGAGGATATGATAGATGCGGTGCTTGTGTTTTGTTGCAGGCAAATAGAAGATTTGTTTCAAATATTACTAGGATATTATTGCTCGTTTCATTTGTAGCTGTATATAGTGCTGTTATGATTCGAAGTAATTTGATAAGTTTTTTGTCGTCATCATCATCATCATCACATCATGGCGTAGTTGATTTGCTTGATATTTTGCTCGATATGAACTAGGTTTGTAACTAACCACTTGAATAACTTACCTATAACCTGGTCTTATTGGTGTAGCATGTGTTGAAAACTGACTACTTTCCATATGCAGTTGCCGTGGGTGTTGATTGATGTGTTCTGTTGTGATTATTTGATTATTCGTTTATATGAATAGATTATTCTATTATTATTGTTGACAATGAACGCGTACTAGTTTTTTAGTTATGATATTCATTGCTCAGTGTATTGAGAGAAGCAAAATGGATGGAGTGAGTTGCTGGCGAATAGTAATAAGGAAGTGTAGTCGTTGAGAAGGGAAATTGTTTTTGTGGATGAAAAGAATTTGATTTGATGCAATTGAACTGTATTGTCTAGTGCTGCAGTAGTATAGTGTATGCGTAGGTTGGTTTCTATTTTGAATTAGTTGCTGATGGGGATTGATTGATTGGAGTTTGATTTGAAGAATTTATTGCTGATTGTGAGCAGAAACGGTGTGAACTGCGGTGTGTTGAATGAGAATATGAAATGATCGTGAAGTAGTGTTGTGGGTGTGTTTTGCAAACAACTTTAGGTTATTAGGTATTGCTGCAGTACTTTGAATGGNAATGATCGTGAAGTAGTGTTGTGGGTGTGTTTTGCAAACAACTTTAGGTTATTAGGTATTGCTGCAGTACTTTGAATGGAGCTAGGGGGAGTGGGTTGCGATAATTAGCATGACTGGGTAGGGTAGTTTTTTAATGAATTGTTGAGTTTTATAGCAGCAGCAGCAGTAGGTACTTTGAGACGAGTTCGAAATGAATGAGCGGCGAATGAATAAGCAATTGAGAATAATCGCTCGCGTTGTAGTGATTTATTTCTTTAAAACACGACTGTTTGTTTAAAAGTGTGCAAATGAGATTAATATATATTTGGAATAAGGAAAACGACGACTTGATATATGAGGAAAAGGAGCGATTAAGTTGTAGTTGCATTTGATAAGGTTTATCTTAGCACTAATATCTATCCAAGAACGTCTCCTCATCCACGCATCCGTCCAGCTATCTGTTTATGCATCCATTTCTAGCTGGCTAGGTCCATTGGGCCCGTTGAACTGCAATCAAAATCTCACTAAAATTCGGTGTCCCATCGGGAGAATTCATTCGCTCTTGATTGAACGCTGTTCGTTTACGTCTAGAGTGCAGTGTCACCTTTGCATGATAATTTATCATCATGGATGCACTTATATCCTAATTTTATGAGTTTGACTTTCGTTGGTTTCGTTGCTCATATACGGCCAAAGATAGAAACTCATAGTGAAAATAAAGTATGTGTGAGTGAGATTAATAGGTGACTCCACTGAACAGAAGGGGGACGGTGAAGGGGAAGGTTGCATGGGAGGGAGTGATACGGTAGTTGGGGGAAAACTCTGATTGAAACAGAAGATGACGTCGGGACGGATGAATATGGTTGAGTGGATGTGGATGTGGATGTGGATGGATATAGATGGATGAATAGAAGTGATGAAAAAGGATAGCATGTGAAGATAGATATGTTGGTGGATGGATGGATGGATGGATGGACAGATGAATGCTTTAGATTTGGTTTCGCCGATTAAGTCGTTGGGCGCTTTTTCCTTATTGAGTAATATGTTGTTGTAATCGCATTGGGTGCATGCGCCGTTGTGTTCGTTCTCATCTTTTGAATAGAATATCACATAAGTTTTAAACGGCCATTTTTTTGATAGCAGTGAAAAGCGTCTAGATATGGCAGTTCAAAAATAAGTGGCAGTAAGAGCATCTTGCAATTTCTATTTTATATGTAGATGAGATAGATGTTGATATAATAGATAGACGAATGAATGCTGAATAAATGCAAATACTTGAGCAGATAGATGAAACACATACATATATTTATAGATGTATATTTGCAGAATAAATGGATGGCTATAAATAAATATTTATCTGTGAATGTGTTTTCGCTGCTGATGAAGTTGTTTGATATGATATGAGCTGCTGCTGCTGCTGCATGAGCAACAAGATATTAATTGTAACTGATATTGGGGAAATACTTTGATTTGATGTTGTTTAATTATTAGAGGTGGTGGTTGTATGGCAGGCATTAATAGAGTGTGATTGATATGATCATTTAATGCTATGAAGTGATCAAACTGTGTTTTTTTGTTACTTACTTCCTTATTCGCTGCTGCTGCTGGTGGTGGTGGTGGTTGGTTTCAAGTAAACGGTTGTTGTCCTGGATGCATTCATGCACTTAAAGGCATGCAGGCAGCATCCATTTTTTGGCAGTGACATTATTGTTGTTGGTTCGGTTTTTTGTTG